TTTCATCATGATGTCTAGCTGAGTTTTCTTGTATCTCATTCAGTTTCCTTAGAATTATCACTCGAAATTCCTTGTCAGTCATTTCAAGGGCTTCTTGTTCTATAGGATCTAGAGCTTGAGATTTATTATCTTTGGGTGGTGTACTTTCTTGATTTTTCATGTTTCTGGTGTCTTTTCTTTGATGTTTATTCATTGTGGCAGGGGGTTTCACAGTCCACAGGTTTGACACTATTGCCTGACTAAGATTTTGTTGGGGTTGCCAATTTGGTATGGCTACCTCAGTGACTACTCAGTTGGACACTAGTGTTAGGCAAGACCAAAATTGAATACCGGGAAGATGGTGGGGCGTTCACACCGCTCCCTCTGGTGAGTCTCAGCTCCCGCGTTGTGCTCCCGCGTTGAGCTCCCACGGCAGCCTCCGCAGCCAGAGCTGCCCCGGCCACCTCTCACCGCCCCTGGCGCTCCTGGCTCCTGTTCGTGCCACAGCCTACTCAGTGTCTCTTTGGCTCGCAGTTCCAGCGGCGCCTGGGGCCAGGGAGGCGACAGCCCCCTCTCCGGCAGATACCGCAGTCGCTGGACCCCGAGTCCTGGTGGCGGGGCTGTGCAGCCTGGCCTGGTGCTGAGGGCAGCGGCTGCGAGGCTGGGCGCCGAGTGGCGGCCGCTCCCGGCGGCTTCTTCTTGGCCACAGCCCCCACCAGTGCCGCATCTGCCAAGGGCTCTCACACGGAGCCTGTGAGAGGGCCCTAATGGGAGTCAGCTGTGTTTTCACTTTCTGTTGTCGGCTGGGATGGGTTTCTCTGCGGATTCTTTGAAATGAAATAATGTGATGCACGCCACGATAAGGGCCGGCCTGTAATGAGACCCAGGCCGCTGGGTGGCTGCTATTGCTCCAGGTGATATCATTGTTCTTATTGGTAATTTCCTGATGACACATGCTGGTGAATGTATTTTCATATGCTTATTTGCCACCTGTATGTCTTCTTTGGTGAGATGTCTGTTTATATCTTTGGCCCATTTTTTAACTGGATTGTTCATCTTCTTATTGTTGAGTGTTAAGAGTTTTTTGTTTATTTTGGATAACAATTCTTTATCAGATGTGACCTTTGCAAATATTTTCTCCTAGTCTGTGGCATGTATTCTCATTCTCTTAAGTGTCTTTTGCAGAGAAGAAATTTTTTGTGAAGAGTGTATGAGCTCTGTCTAGGTTCATTTTTTTTTGTATGCAGACGTCCAGCTGTTCCAGCATCATCTGTTGAAAAGACAATCCTTTCTCTAGTGTATTTCCTTTGCTCCTTTATCAAAGATCAGTCAACTATATTCCTGTAGGCCTGTTTCTGGCTCTCTATTCTTTTCCACTGATCTATTTGCCTATTCTTTTGCCAATATTACACTGTCTTAAGTACTGCCACTTTATAAGTCTTGAAGTCAGGCAGTGTCAATACTCTGACTTGTTTCTTCTTTATTATTCATTATGTTGGCTATTTCTGGGTATTTTGCCTTTCCATATAAACTTTAGAATCAATTTGCTGATATCTATAAAATACCTTGCTGGGATTTTGATTGGGATTTTGTTGTATCTATAGACCAAGTTAGAAAGAATTGACAGACTAATAATATTGTCTTCCTATCCATGAACACAGAATATCTCTCTAGTTCTTTGATTCCTTTTTTCAGAGTTTTGTGGTTTTCCTCATAGATTTTTTTTTTTTTTTACACACTTTGTTAGATCTATATACAAGTATTTCATTTTGGGGGATGCTAATGTAAATAGAAATGTTTTTAATTTCAAATTCCAGTAGTTCGTTAGCATATAGGAAAACAACGGGCTTCCATATATTAACCTTGTATCCTCCAACCTTGCTATAACTGCTAATTAGTTCCAGGGGTTTTTTTTGGTTGATTCTCTCAGATTTTCTACATAGATGATCATGACATATGCAAATAAAGACAGTTTTATTTCTTCCTTCCTAATTTGTATATCTTTTATTTCCTTTTCTTGTTTTATTGCATTGGCTAGAACTTCCAGGACAATGTTGAAAAGCAGTAGGGAGCGGGAACACATCCATGCTTTGTTCCTGATCTTAGGGAGAAAGCATCTAGTTTCTCACCATTAAGTATCATGCTAACTACAGATTATTTTATAGATATTCTTTATCAAGTTGAGGAAGTCCCCCTCTACTTCTAGTCTGTTGAATTTTTATAATGTGTGGGTGTTGGATTTAAATGCCTTTTCTACATTCATTGATATAATCATGTGGGTTTTCTTTTTAGATTGTTAATGTGACAGGTTAATTGATTTTTGAATGTTGAATGAGCCTTGCATATCTTTAATAATCACTGTGTTCAATTTCTTTTTTATACATTCTTTGATTCAATTTGCTTATATTTTGTTGAAGATGTATGGATCTATGTTCAGAAGAGATAGTGATTTATAGTTTTCTTGTAATTGTCTGGTTTGGGTACAAGAGTAATGCTGGCCTCATAGAATGATTTAGGAAGTATTCCATTTGCTTCTCTCTTCTGGAAGAGATTGGAAAGAACCAGTACAATCTCTTCCTTAAATGTTTCGTAGAATTCACCAGTGAACCCATCTGGGCCTGGTGCTTTCTGTTTTAGGTTATTAATTATTAATTCAGTTTCTTTAATAGATAGAGGCCTATTCAAGTTGTCTATTTCTTCTTGAGCAAGCTTTGGCAGATTGTGTATTCCAAATAATTGGTCCATTACATCTAGGTTATCAAATTTATGACCAAAGAGTTGCTCATAATATTCCTTTATTACCCTTTTAATGTTCATGGGATCTATTATGATGTCCCCTCTTTCATTTCTGACTTTAGTAATTTGTGTCTTCTCCTTTATGTTCCTTAACCTGGCTAGAAACATCATTTTTATTGATTTTTTTAATCCAGCTTTTGATTTTGATTTTCCTTCATTGATTTTCTGTTTTCAATATCACTGATTTCTGCTCTAATTTTTTTTCTCCTGTTTATTTTGTATTTAATTTACTCTTCTATTTCTAATTTCCTAAGGTAGAAGCTTAGATTATTGATGTTGGGTTTTTCTTCTTTCCTAACACATGCATTCGATGCAATAAATTTCCCTCTAGGCACTGCTTTTTTTGTACTCCACAAATTTTGATAAGCAGTATTTTCATTTTTATTTAGTTCAATGTATTTTTAAATTTCTCTTGAGATTTCTTCTTTGATCTGGTGTTGTTTGATCTCTAGGTATTTGGGGGATTATTTCAGGTATCTTCTCATTGATTTCTAGTTTAATTCCACTGTGGTCTGAAAGTACACACTGTACGATTTCTATTTTTATAAATTTGTTAAGGTGTGATTTATGGCTCAGAATGTGGTATATACTGGTTTATGTTCCATAAAATTTGAGGAGAATGTGTGTTCTGCTGTTGTTGGATGAAGTAGTCTAAAGACATCAATTGACTGATGATGATGTTGAATTCAACTATGTCCATACTGATTTTCTGCCTGCTGGATCTGTCCATTTCACAGAGGGCAGATGAAGTTTCCAACTGTAATAGTGGATTCATCTGTTTCTCCTTGCAGTTGTCAGTTTCTGTCTCATGTATTTTGACATCCTGTTTTTAGGCATATACACATTAAAGATTGTTATGTGTTCTTGGATTACTGACTCCCTTTATCACTATGTAATGTCCCTCTATATCCCTGATAACCATCCTTGCTCTGAAGTTTGCTCTGTCTGAATTTAATGTAGCTACTCCTGCTGTTTTGTCTTCAAAATGTTTATGGTAGTAATGAACATGTTAACACAAAATTTACCATCTCAACCATTTTTAAATGTACATACAGTTCAGTGCTATTAAATACATTCACAATGTTGTGCAACCATCTCCACCAACCATCTCCATAACTCTTCTCATCTTGTAAAGGTAAAACTGAAACCCTATACATTAAACATTAACTTCCCATTCTCCTCTCTCCCTAGACCCTGGCAATCACAGTCCCACTTTGTGTTTCTATTATTTTGACTACTCTAAGTATCTCATATAAGAGAAATCACAGAGCATTTGTCTTTCTGTGAGTGGCTTATTTCACTTAGCATAATTCCTCAAGGCTCATCCATATTGTAGTATATTAAAGAATTTCCTTTTAAAGGCTGAATAACATTCCATTGTATACACCATATTTTACTTATCCATTCAACTATCAATGGACACTTGGGTTTCATCCACATTTTAGCTATCGTGAATAATGCTGCTATGAACATGGATGTACAAATATCTTGAGACACTGCTTTCAATTCTTTTAACTCCTGCCTTCTTTTGATTAGTGTTAGCATGGTATATCTTTCTCCAACCCTTTACTTTGATCCTATATGTGCCTTTATATTTAAAATGGGTTTCTTATAGACATCATAATTGATTTTTGGTCTTTATTTTTGATCCACTGTGATAATTTGTCTTTTAATTGCTGTATTTACATCACTGATGTTTAAAGTGATTATTGACATAGCTGGATTGATATCTATCATATTTGTTACTGTTTTCTATTTGTTGCCATTGTTCTTTGTTCCTATTTTTGTCTTCCACTCTTTTCCTGCCTTTTGTAGTTTTAATAGAGCATTTTATATGATTCTATTTTCTCTCCTTTCTTAGCATATCAATTATACTTTTTTAAAAACTTTTTTAGTGATCATTCTAGAGTTTGCAGTATATACTTACAACTCATCCAGGCCCACTTTCAACTAACACACCAGTCCACAGATCATACAAGTGCCTTATAATAGCAAAATATTCCTAATTCCTTCCTCTCATCTCATGCATCATTGCTATCACTCATTTCATTTATACATAAGCATATACATACACATAAGCATATAAAATCAAATACATCTGTCATTGCTATTTTGAACTATTGTCTATTAGAGCAATTACAAATAAGAAATATAAAATTTTTAATTTTACCTTCACTTATTAATTCTCCAATGTTCCTCATTTCATTTTTTCCTTTGGTCAGCTGGCTGGTATGGGGATCCAAACCTGTGACCTTGGTGTTATAAGGCTATACTCTAACTGTGCTAACGAGCCAGCCCTCTTTCTTTCTTTTACAAAACTTCTTTTAAGGTTTTTCCAAGACAGGTTTACTGGCAACAAATTCCTTCAATTTTTATTTGTCTGAGAAAGATTTTAACCACTCTTGAAAAATAATTTCACAGGGTACAGAATTCTAGGTTGGTTATGTTTTTCCCTCTCAACCCGTTAAATGTTTCATTCCACTCTCTTCTGTATTGCATGGTTCCTGAGGAAAATTCAGATGTAACTGTTATTTTTGCTCTTCTACAGATAAGCTGTTTTTTTCTTCATTTTCTTTCAAGACTTTTCTTTATCTTTGACTTTCTGCACTTTGAATATGATATTTTAGGTATCGTTTTTTGGGGCTTTATCCTGCTTGGTGTTCTCTAAGCTTCCTAAAACTGTGGTTTGGTGTCTAACATTAATTTGGGGAAATTCTCAGCAATTATTGCTTCAAATATTGCTTCTGTTCCTTTCTCTCTTTCTTCTCCTCTGGTATTCCCATTATACATATATGATACACCTTTTGTAGTTGTCCCAGAGCTCTGAGATATTCTGTTCTATTTTTATTCAGTCTTTTCTCTCCACTTTTTAGTTTTGGAGTTTCTACTGATATATGCTCATGCTCAGAGATTCTTTTCTCAGCTGTGTCCAGTCTACTCATGAGCCCATCAAAGGCATTCTTCATTTCTGTTAGTGTTTTTTATCTCTAGCTTTTTAAAAATTCTTTCTTAGAATTTCCATCTCTCTGCTTATATTATCCATCTGGTCTTACATGTCGTCTACTTTTCCCACTGAAGCCCTTAGCATACTATTCAGTATTTTTAAATTGCTGGTCTAATAATTTTACCATTCCTGCCAAAACTGACTCTTGTTCTGATGCTGTTCAGTCTCTTCAAACTGTGTTTTTTGCCTGTTAGTATGCCCGGCTGAAAGGCAGACATGAGTACCAGCTAAAAGGAACTGCAATTAAAAAAAAAAAAACCCTTAGTAATGTAATGGTAAAATGTGGGGAAAGGGGAAGCATTCTACATCCTATGATTAAGTCTCAATCTCCACCCACCTCCTCTCTTACATGAGATAGACAGCAAGAAAGGGCTGGAACTGTGTATTTCCTATCCCCCACATGGAAGGCTAGGCTGGCTGAAGTTGCATGTTTCCCTTCCCCCAAGTAAGTTAGACTCTGATAAAACCTCAGCAGGTTAGGCTCTGGAGTGGCTATTACTAGTATCAGACAAAGCAGACTTCAGAGCAAAGAAAATTACCAGGGAAAAACAGGGACATTACACAATAATAAATGGTTCATTCAACTAGAAGACATAACAATCCTAATGTGTATCCACCTGACAACAACAGAGCTTCAAAATACATGAACTAAAAACCAACAACTGAAAGGAGAAACAAACAAATTCACAACTGTAGTTTGATACTTCAACACTCTTTTCTCAGTAATAGAATTAGTACACACAAAAAAAATTAACAAGGATATACAGGAATTAAACATCATCAACCAACTGGATCGAACTGACATTTATAGAACACTCCACCCAATAACAGCAAAATACACATGACTTTTGAAGTGTACATGGAATACGCACCAAGATAGCCAATATCTCCTGCGTCATAAACACCTTAACAGGTTTAAAAGAACTGAAATCATACAAAGAATGTTCTCTGACCACAAAGGAATTAAACTAGAAAACATTAAATGACCAAACATTTGGAAATTAACACATTTCTATATGACCCATGGGTCAAACAGCAAGTCTTAAGGGAAATTAGAAAATATCTTGAGCTGAATGAAAAGGAAAATACAATATTTCAAAAGTTGTGCGATGTATCTAAAAGCAATGCTTAGAGAGAAATTCATAGTATTAAACACCTATATTATAAAAGAAAAGTCTCAAATCAATGACCTCAACTTCCACCCTAAGAAACTAAAAAAAAAAAACAAACAAAATAGCCCAAATCAAGCAGAAGGAAGGAAGTAATAAAATTAAGAGCAGAAATCCATAAAATTGAAGACAGAATAGAGAAAAATCAACAAAACCAAAAGCTGGTTCTTTGAAAAGACCAATAAAATTAAGAAATCTATCAAGAGAAAGAATAAAATACAGGAGACACAAAATATCAAGAATGAAGGAAGGGATCACCACAAGACAGAAGACGTTAAAAAGACAATAAGAGTATACTACAAACAACTCTATGCGCATAAATTCGACAACTCTGGTGAAAAGAACCAATTCCATGAAATTACCTAAAATCACCCAAGATGAAATGGGTTACCTGAATAGACCTAAAATAATGAAAATAAATTGAATTAGTAATTGAAAACCTAAAAATCTCCAGGCCCAGATGGTCTCACTGTCAATTCTTTAGAAAAAGAGTAACACCAATTCTATAAAATTCCACACAGAAAAAAAAATTAGTACAACATATCAGCATTCATACAGCCGCAGTATCCAATAAGCAGGGCAGGATATTAGCCCCATGTGGCCACTAAGTACTTGATATACAGCCAGAGCCACACATTGAAATGATAATATTTTAGCTATACTGAGTTAAATAAAATATATTGTTAAACATCTTTTAAAGTACTCAAATAAGTGTTAGGTCAGAAATTAAGATCTACTTTCTTAATCACTTATGAATTCCACATATAAAAGAGAAACCAAAAACATAAAGAAAAAAGTGGTTACTGAGCCAAAGCCTTAAATTCAATTGCTTTCGAGACTGTGTCAAAACAAAATACAAAGCTCTTAGAATTCATAAGAGGAAAACTAGAAGGACACTGATCACTACAAAGCAAAATCCAGAGGCTAGCAGGCTCACAGCATTCCCTTCTGGGGCCAAATGTCCAAAACTGACATTCCCTTTGCAAAGAAGGGAAAGCATAAGCTCTTTAAAGATAAAAAGAAAAAAAATAAAGAGAACTAAAGAAAGGTACTTTTTTCAAGTTAAAGATTATCTTGAAAAACAATTATAAAGATTATAGAATGAACGAATTTCTAGCTGAAAATAGATCTTTGCCATTCCAAAGGAAAACCCATTAGAGCATTATGTGGCTGGCATCAAACCATCATTACAGGAACAGAACGCAATTTGCTTTTCAGTAGGAGATTATCCTCTTCAAAGACCCCCACCTTTAACTAGAAGGCTAATGGGAGGTTTCTAATAATAAAGCTATGGCTACATTCTGAGCAGTAATTAAAGAATATATACTACATCAAAGACTAAGATACTAGAGGGGCCGGCCCGGTGGCGCACTGGATAGTGCGCCGCTTGGGAAGCGCGGCGGCGCTCCCGCCCGAGGGTTCGGATCCCACATACAGACCGGTTCCCGCTCACTGGCTGAGCGAGGCGCGGGAGCAACACCGAGGGTTGCGATCCTGTTGCCGGTCCCCGGTCCGGTACGGGGGCAACACTGAGGGTTGCGATCCGTTGCCGGACACGGAAAAAAGACAAAAGACAAAAAAAAAAAAAAAAGACTAAGATACTAGATAAAGCTTAAAAGCTATATATTGTTTTAGACACCAATCATCATTTTGTTAAAAAATAATCACACATTAGTTTTATAGCACACACTGATTATTTGAATGGAAGGCAATTATGCCTGCTTCCTTACTTATAAGAGAAATGCTCTAGTCTAATCCAGGAGCAAGTATACACACAGGCACTTACTAAAAATTCCCATCACGCAACAATTCAGTAAAACCTTAAGAATTTCTAACCTGCAACAGTTTCAGCATATATGCAGATATATTTTTTGTTAAGGGGACATGTACATATCTCAATTTTAAGTCTTTTTTCCTTTTTAATATTTCTGAAATCAGGATGCATCACATAATCAACGTGTTCATTTAATATGGCAGTGGCTCTACCCTTCCCCCCTTCAAGAAAAGTAATTATTAAACCAATGATGTATATTAAAAGTACTATCACATAAGAATCAAGGAAATGCATTAAGTTCAACCTGCAAACATTTCATTGACGGGGCTATATTCTCTAAGTAGCTAAAACACTTTTTAACTAGATCCCGCCTAAGCCATAGCCCTTACTAATGCATACACACAAAAAAAGTAAAGAATTTTTTTTTTTAAAAGCAAATTATGCCTAAGTATTTAATCTTTAAAATGGTCCCTGGTTTTTCTGTTTGTTTTGTGTGTGTGTGTGTATTTTTTTTCTTTCTTTCTTTTTTTTTTTGCAGCTGGCTGGTATAGGGATCAAACCCTGGACCTTGGTGTTATCAGCACCATGCTCTAAACAACTGAGCTAACTGGCAGCCCTAAGAAAGAATTATACTTGGTTAAAAAAATGTATAGGAACTATCACTCTCAAATTCAGAATCCTTGGAATCTAGCATTCCGGACAAGGAAGTTTCTATTAATAGGACTCTGGCTACCATTTAAGAAAAAAAGGTGCTGCTTTCAAATGTTATTTTTGCCTTTCTCCCAAACTTTCTGTGTATGTATGTGTGCGTGTGTGTGTGTGTGTGTATTCTGTTGAGGAATAATAAAACTAATTATAAAGCAAACCGTGTTAGCGCTAATAGCATACTTTAACATTATTCACACCTGATTGATAAAGCAGTTAAAACATTTGATGCTTCATACCTGGACATGCAAATATCTTGCTAATTACTGTGCTTTACAGAAGGATCACTGTTTCATCTGCTTTCTTGATTTTCTATGGTCCACATAGGTTGAGGACCCACATACTTGCATTTTAGAGTTTCATCTGAACAGTACAGCCATTTCACATTGCCTTGACTCACACAGAACTACCTGGACAGACCACCAATCACCACCACCTGGTGGCAGTGCAACTGACGGTGGGCTTCCTTCCCCAAAGATGAAAAAGCCTATCACCTCATAATATAAAAATATTTTAGGATTTCAGATCTCACTTATATTTTGAAATGTCCCTTCTAAAACATTTCTCATACAAGTCACAATCAGCCTAGGCTAGCATTTCTCTCATCAAAAATGAAATTTTGTTTTGAAGGGCTACTGACATTTCTGATATTGGAGAATTCTAGAGATCAGAACTGAAACAATAAGCATCTTATGGAGGATCATCCAGAAGCAAATGAAGCAGCCTTTTTGAGTTCAACATAAAAGAACGATGTTCTAAAGGTGGGATTAATAGCCAAAAGGGCTAGAGAACTGGGAGAAATGCAAGGCAGAACAGCATCTAAGTAGAAGACACCATGGATTCTAGTAAGAAAAAGTCTGTATGAAACCAGAACTTCTTTTATAATTTGATCAGTTAAAATACAGGAGAGGAAGGGGGCCGGCCTGGTGGCGCACTGCTACAGTGCGCTGCTTGGGAAGCGCGGCAGCGCTCCCGCCGAGGGTTCGGATCCCACATACAGACCGGCCGCTCACTGGCTGAGCGAGTTGCAGGAGCAACACCGAGGGTTGCGATCCCATTGCCGGTCCCGGTCCAGTACGGGTGCAACACTGAGGGTTGCGATCCGTTGCCGGTCACGAAAAAAGACAAAAAGGAAAAAAAAAAAATACAGGAGAGGAATAAGGAAGGAAGGAAAAGTCCCACATTACCTGGCTAGGGAGAACATGTTAAAATGCAGAAACTGGAAAAAGAACTCACAAAGATTTTAGAAAATAAACAATCACTGTGGCTTACGTGGAGCACCCAGTACATTTCCTAATATGTGGGAGATATTGTGGTCTGGGAGCTTATTAAGGGAAGGTTCATTTCTAACCTCTGAGAAACCAAATGAATGATGTATAAGTATTTAATCAACATGTAAAATGTCCCTAGATACCCATGTGAGGTATTTAACAAGAAGAACTACTTCAAGTGAGGGAAACCTCATTAGTACAAGATAACCAGAGTATCACTTGACCTTAGCTTACTTCACAACTAGGTCCCTGTGTTTAGAGGAAACTATTGTGACACAGGGGTAAATCTCTCCTGTGGAACTTTGGAAGAGGGTACTCTGATAGAAGGAGGGGAAGCATGTTACTGTTGGTACTGAGACTAAAATGGGGACAATTACTCATTCTACTTATTCCTTGCCCAGATCCTAATGTCCTAGACTACAGTGTATCTCCTAGCAGGCAGGAACTCCTTGGGTAACACTGATATTTACCCAACTACCTAAGAGTATCCCTGCCATTCTCAAATCCCACTCACTCTAGGAGTGAAAAGAGGGCATGGGGACCATATACCCCACCCTTACTTAACCACAACAAGTATCATCAATACCCAAAAGCCAAAGTTTCCTTATGAACCCCCTACAGTAGAGAGGGCCAAATTAATGACAAAAATTATAAAATTACTTTTGTTAATTTATAACTACAGTTTACAGCTAATTTATAACTTTTATTAGACTTTAGGTAAATCACAAATTTTTTCTGATCTTCAGTATCCTCATACATAAAATGCAGCTAATATTTCCTTCATAAAGTAATTTATATACAAAAAGCCCAATACAAATGCCTGACATACAGCATATAGTAAGTACTAGAATTTGCTAGCGCTTATTCCTATTTGCTAGTATTTGCTACTTAGATAAAAGCTAAGAAGTAAATTTTATCTAACAAGCTAATTCCTTTAGTGGGGTGGAGTGGGAAGAAGTATTAAAGTGAGAAAAAAAAAGATAAAATGCTGGAGCATGAAAATAAATCTGCCAAGAATGAGATACTTACTGATCCTCAACTAAGAGAGGTAGAAATCAGTGTGGCAGGAGACAGTGCTGGCTGTCAAGATTAACAGATGAAGCTACAGGCAGTCAGTGGGGGATCTTGTAATATGCTCCACATAACAAAGAACTGTCCACTTAACATGCCAACAGCATGCCTTTTGAGAAACTCTGAGAGAATGCAACCAATCTAAAATGGGAGGAATGGGACCCACTTCATAAATTATTGAATATATCAAAAATTCCTTTTGAGGAAGAGAAATGAGCTGAAACAACATAAGAGTTATAAAAATAGAGTAGATTCTACAGAAGACCATCTATAGAAGAGATCACCCCACCCAAAACAAAAATAAATAAAAAACCACCTCTGTTGTTAAAACAGAATGATGAGGCAGAAAGTTACACCTAACCTGTCCAAATCTGTGCCCGGGGAACCTAGTCCTACAGTCCACACTCTTACCACTACACTTTACACAATGAGCTAGCAAGTTGAGAGCAGCAGAAAAACCTGGAAAAGAGTCAGTCATGGTTATTATGGCACTCTATTTTTTTAATGTATTCATAGTTGTTTTATACATAATATATTCAGTTTCTGTTAGTCACTTAACATCTCTGATACCAGGATATATTTTAAAATCAATAGTTATTTGGATTCAATGAAATATAGTAGTTTGTAAAATGGACTTAAACTCTCTACTGGAGCATACGAAGGTTTGCAAACTATACTCCACAGAGCTCTCGAAGTCCTCTCAGTCAGAGAAGGGCAAGAAAACAAAGGCCAAAGAGGCCTCCAATTCAACAAAACAAGTTTCATTTTTACCCTTACCATTTTTAGGAGGGGACATTCAAATAATCTTTTTTTTTTTTTTTTTTTCTTTTTGTCTTTTTCCATGTCCGGCAACGGATCGCAACCCTCAGTGTTGCCCCCGTACCGGACCGGAGACCGGCAACGGGATCGCAACCCTCGGTGCTACTCCCGCGCCTCGCTCAGCCAGTGAGCGGGAACCGGTCTGTATGTGGGATCCGAACCCTCGGGCGGGAACACCGCTGCGCTTCCCAAGCGGCGCACTATCCAGTGTGCCACCGGGCCGGCCCCATATATTCTTTTATCAAGGAAATGGTTCCACTGCTTTAAAAAAAATGCTTGAAAACCACAAAATCAGATGCATTCTTAAGATCCCCTGAAGGCATTATGAGTAGATTCCACAAAGTCCTGGGAAGCAACTTATAGACTATAAGACCAAAAAAGGCTTTAAGTTTTTTGTTGCTCCCAAAGCTAGTATATTTATACTCTACTTCTATAACTTGAGTGGGCTGCTACAAGTATAAAATTGAATGTCCCACATACTGGTAATTATTTTTAATTTTACACTAAAAAACAAAAAAGTAAGACTAGAGTTCTCAAGCACTGGAGAACAAACACTAAGAATGAGCATCTTTCCATCAAAGGGTTTTTTTTTTTTTTTAAAGGTCATATATATTGTCTTCCTCCCGCCTTAAAAATGCTGACATTCACTTAGAAAATGTACTGAGCAGCTACTCTCTGCTCTGCACTTGGGCTCAGCTTTTTGAAGAGTTTCAAAGATAAATCAGACATGTATCACCTTAAGTTTTAAAGGTGATACTAGACATTTATCAAATTAACTGGGCAGAAAGAGGTAAGGAGCAAAAGAGAAGCAAAGGAGTAAGAAGTGAAGAGATAATGCAATGGAGTTCAGCAGTGTTGAGAAACTACTACAAACCATGGGTAAGAAGATTCTTAGCAGAGGTCCCCTGAAAATGGAATCTTGAAAGGAAGGGACAAATAATCTCTCTGTATTTTGATATGTGATTACATGTTCATTTGTTATTCAACAAACAGTTCTTAATTATTAGGAGGAAAACACCTAAAATACAATGTGTTAAGTATAACAAGCATGTACATGATATTAATGAAAAAGGGAAGGGTGCATTTCCTTAGGGTAGTAAAGCATAGGCAAGGGGGTAGGAGGGAAGGAAGAAAGGTGACTTGATCAGAGCCTTGAGGATAAGGAGGAACTTGCTAGAAAGGAAAGAAAAAGATATTTCAGGCAATGGCATGAAGAACATGAATATTTTAGAACACGAACAAGAGCGTGGAGAAGTGAAAGCATGTGACATCTTTGGGGACTGACTGTGGGGGGTTAGGAGGTAATTAAAGATGAAAGTGAAAATGAGGCCGGACCAGATCATGAAGAGTTTTAAGTCCCATGCCAAGCAGTTTGGCTTCATTACAGTAGGCACAAAGGTTTTAGGCAAAAAAATGATTCCACATAAACATTATGAGATATTCTTTCTATATTAAATTTTTTTTTTCTTTTTGTCTTTTTCGTGACCGGTAATGGGATCGCAACCCTCGGTGTCGCACCCGCACTGCACTCAACCAGTGAGCGGACCGGTCTCTATATGGGATCCGAACCCTCGGCGGGAGCGCCGCCGCGCTCCCAAGCACCGCACTCTACTGAGTGTGCCACCGGGCTGGCCCTATATTAAATTTTTTTGAGACTAAAAATATTTAAAGTTTCCACTGGCTACAAAAACATGTATGAGAATATTAATTCCAGGACACCTTGAAATAATTCAAAAGGTCCCACTGACCAACAGGCCACAAGTCCAGTTAAGAGCATCACCATGGACGGTGTACTGGGGGTGACAGCTGAAGCCATGTGGGTGGATGAGGTCACCAAGCATGCATGGGGCCCAGCTCAGAACCTAGTAATCCCAGGGCAAAGACGAGACTAAACAGAGACAGGGAAGAACATTCAGAGGAGGAGAAACAGGAGAGGTGCATATGAATCTAAGAAAGTACACATTTCAAAAAACATTTGCAATAAGGTACCAAATGATAATTAGAAGGTCAGCTGGTATGAAGACTGTAAAGAAGCTATTAGATTTGGAAGCTGAGTAGTCACTAAAAAACTTTCATTGGAGTGGGAAGTGGGTAAAAGACAGATCAGGATGAAGAGTAAATAGAAAATGTGGAAGAAGAGACAATGAGTACAGATCACTGTTCAAAAAGTTTGGCAATAAAGCAAAGAAGTATTTTGAATCCCCATAATGGTCAGCTGCCAAAAAAAAAAAAGAGAGAGAAGCAGTGAGAGGTGTTAGTAGTCTGATAAATTGACAGGTTGGAAGGAATATGCACATTTTGTGCAATATCTGTTTTATATAACTTGTGTCTAGAAACTCTGAGAACAAGAACTGCCTTCAGTACTCTTATAGACTGTATAATAAAAACAGCACTACTAAATCATCATTATTTAGAATGCAAAGTATAACACCTCATACGTATCACTAAGTTTTAATTAAATTCTAAGGACAAATGGGAGAATATTAGACTGGACCAATTAGTCATTAAATTCAAATCATTTACCTGCATGGGGTGTCTGTTTTAGAGGCCACACCCTATTATGCAATTCGACAGGCTCCATGAGCAACACTGGGGGTATGGTAAGATGTTACCTTACTTAGTTCCTTCACCCTGGACAGCACAAGGACATACTCACCTCCATAGTAGAGTCCTGTAGCAGTGCACATCCGCCACTGTCCCTGATACATTCCTGCTCTGCTGGGGCTGCACATCTGGACGCTGACATCTGCAATCTCTTGGGGCTCTAGCGATCTCACCATCACCATGTTCACATGTCCAAATTGGTCTCCACCAACATATTTAAGACAAACCCCTGGAGGCCAGGCCTCTGCCCCTGAGTTCAAGAAAAAAAATGTTAGGCAATCAGTGGTCCTAAGCTGGGTGCAGTTTATTTCGAAACTATAGAAGAGGCCTCTTTTTTTGTCTCACATACATATGTAAGCCTACCCACATATCCCTGAGCTATATACTGTCTCACACAACAGATCAGAAAGAATCAACAACCTTGGACCAACAGTCTATCCCTATGATAATGTACATACGGCAAAAGCAAGACAACGTGTGTTTAGGGGACCCCAGGTAAGGCCAAACATCATACTGAAGCTGTAAAACCTAAGAATGATGTCTATGAAGAGCCATGAAGATGGAGCACAGGACCACATCTTTGGGGAACCGCTTTCTCTACATGTCCATTTCACTTGAACTTTTAAGATGACATTCAAAATAAAAATATTCTGACTGTTCCCCATTTTTCCATAGAGGCAAGAGGATGAACACACAAAAAGTGACTTCTAAGACATTATTTTCACTTTAAAATTGCTTTTTCCCTGATGTACAAATTTTTTCTGGGGTCTGTAACTATAAAATACTCAAGAGCTCAAGAGACTCTGTGCAAATACAAGACAGAGAAATCAAGCAAAAGTTTAGATCTCAGGTTCAAACAGTACTGGGGAAAATATGAGCAACAGGGTGATCTCACCTGGTAACATCATCAATGAACTGAGGTCCCAGGAGCTATGGCACCAGCCAGAGGTGCTTATAAAAAGAATGGGAATGGCAATACAGAAAAATAGCTTTGGCAGAAATATTTTCCTTCTTTTGGAAGTGCCAAAGATCTTATTTAGTACCTACTCCTGTATACCTATTTCCATGTAAACTGATTCAAAATGAGAATTCTATGTGTTGACTTGTTCTGACTAGTCAAGGGTATAGGTAGCCTCAACGTGACTGGATATGTTCTTTCCTATGAAGTGTCTCCAATATGCAGTAATTGATATACTCCTTAATTGCAGGCAGAAACCTCTATATATACTATTTTGGAATATACATTCACTATAAAAAATACAACACTGTAAAAATCAACCAATCAGTCAATCGATCACTGTGAAAAGCCAAACATGGCAGGACTCTCAGGACAGAGGGTGCTTGTAATTTATCTCCTACCAGTATTTTAGGATGCCTCAGTTTCTTGTTCTCGAAGTGCCAGACTGGTTTTGACATACCTGTTGGCTCACTACTGGAAAGGAACCAGAGAGAGAAGAGCAACCAGTGTTTTACTGCTGAGATCTCAACTCCATTATGAACAGCGCCCTCTGTCCCTTGGGTCTTAAGGGGTAGCAACTAAAGCAGTGGCCACTATGTTTTGGAACACTCTCTTTTGAAAAACCTGCCAGTAAAGTGCCCTCTGAAGTTTTAACCCTTTAAATGGCAACCACTGCTGGTGGAAAGGTTGTGGATGGTATACTGGCAATACATTTAAATTCTGTTTTCATTTCTGGGGCCTGTGGCCTGGCCAAAAGCATACTTGTCGTAGGTTAAGAAAAATAGTAGCTGACATGAAACACCTTAGAAAATGTTGGTCTCTTTAAAGACAAAGATCCAAGAGAAAAATTAAACTGAATTCACAATTATTCTTTAAAATACACATATAACTGTAACAAGACAGTGTCTGTTTATACGAAAACCCAAGAATGTGTCTCTGTTTTTGAACTTCTAAGAAAATAAGGTAAACCAAGACTGACTGAGTATGAGAAAGAAAGACTCAGCTGTCCTGGGCAGACAACCACAGGCAGCTGAGATAGTTGGGTCTCTTAAATGTGCAAAAAAGGGAGCACTGCTATATTCCAGGGAAACTGAGTTCTTTGGTAAACCATCAAATGGGTAACATTAAATGATTTGGTGAGGGTCCTGCTCTCGGTACTTTAGATACCAATTACTACCCAATGTGGTATCTAGAGAGAATTTTCAAGAAAAAAGTGGAAGAGTTATCCACCATCAACTCTGAAGTATTCATCTGCTATGAAGTGAAGAACAAATCAACTGCCTTCTGAGAGTTATCAATGATATATATAGTTCTTATAGTCAAAAATGTTAGGTCAGGTAACTCTGAAAAGGTCAAAGATTCTGATACTTGACATAGAAGGAAAGAAAATACTGGTGAGCTGTTTGGACCATCTGGCTAAGCATACCTGAAATCTGGATTCAAGAAGTATAATACAATAGGGTTTCAAATTAAGTCTCAGTTGCAAACTAGCTTAATGGGAGATAGAGCTATCTAGAAGAAAAGAAAGATTAATCTGTGTTTTATGACAAAGTTAAGTATCATAATCAAGTACACGATTAAGACCGTGACTCTCCAGTTATCATAGAATATCACTTTATCTAAAAAAATTAAAAGTAAAAACAAAACAAAACTGTCATGTGGCAATTTTTTTTTTCCTTTTTGTCTTTTTTTCATGACCGGTAACGGGATCGCAACCCTTGGTGTCACGCCCGCACCGCGCTCAGCCAGTGAGTGGACCAGTCTCTATATGGGATCCGAACCCTCGGCAGGAGCGCTGCCACACTCCCAAGCGCCGCACTCAACCGAGTGCACCACCAGGCCGGCCCTCATGTGGCAATTTTGAGATGGTAGAGAGTGTTACAAAAATCAAAGTCCATCAGTTCCAGAAAACCTGAGACTTACTAGGTATAAATGATTACAGAAATAGTTTGGAGACAGTAAGTCATATCTGTATTTCCTTTTTAACCTCTATGAGTGTGGAGACTACATTTCAAATTAAGCTCCCTGAAAGCAGTGACCTTCATCAATCTTGCCACCATTTCTCCCCTATAACTAATAAAGTGACTGGAACATAACAAGATGTGTTGGATGAATGAATGATCTTCTCTATAGTCATACTGAAGAGAAAGGTAGAAAGTTAACTATTTTAATGAGCTAAAAGAAAAATGGGGGAAACAGTTGTTCTTTCTCAAGTTCTTTTTCCCATCCCTTGTTTTATATTCACATCTATGTAGTTCAAAATATAAAGATGACTCTGTAATCTATATGCCCAAGCCACTCTCTCATAACATCACAACTATTTCACCAAAGTCAGAGAAACACTACAGTTTTCAACAATTGCTACAGCTGGTGTTGTAACAACTAAGAAACTGTAAGTGTTGGTAAAGAGAATTCTGCCTAATCATATTTTTTAGAGGAGCAGTTTCAAATTTTCACTTCAACCTCCAGTTGTAAGGTTTCCTGCTCATGTTTCCCAAGCTTCCAATACTTCTATGGAGACAAAAGTATGAATCCTGGAATTTTGCATCTATGTTATTAAATGTCTCAGTTCTGTTTTTCTATGTCTGAATACAAGGATTTTAAAAATATTCAGAGTTTAATTTTAAACACTGTGTGACATTTACCTTCTTTGGGGAAGCTGTTAGAACAGCTATACACAGATCCTATCAATCTTATCTATCGCATATGTGAATGCCTGGCTCGCCTAAAATAGGATAGCAGAGAAGTACCATGAAAATTATTATTTATGGAACTCTTTCAGGAAAGTAAGAGCCAGTGGAGGAAGGCCTAGCCTACTCCAGTGTTACTACTTTATTTCCAGAAAGGATTCAGGCAGATTAGGAGGACACCAAACAACCAGCACACGTGCATATTCCCCCTTCCTCTCTTTAATAACACATCTGTTCTTCAATTATAGGAGACCAGTTTCCTTAACCAAATGGAAAACATTCAGTTTACAGAACTATTTTACAACTGGTTGAACAATTTCCAGATGAATAAAAAACCCTATTTGTGCAAAGAACCTTGAGAGATAAAATCTTTAGCAACTGTTGTCCAATTTTTCAAAAGATATTCAGGCACAAATACACCCTTTTACAAGAGGAAAGCCTACATATTCAGAAGCTGCTTTAAACTGAAGTTACAAAGCAAAAGCAGAAGGAAAAAGTGGTGAGGCCTACCAATACAGATTTTTCAAAGTCCAGGTGAAAGGCAGGCTCTTTGGAGTTCTGATTTGACACTCTAGCCATTATACATCAACCTCTCCATGCCCTATTAACCCAAGGAAATCTCCAGTGAATGAGCACATATAGCAAGAAGCTTTCTGAAATATAAAATGGTTACTCTGCAACGAGACAGTATTTAAAACATTTCAACAGTATTCTAACAACTTTCTGTATTTAAAAACACTAAAGAGGGCCGGCCCAGTGGCGCACTGCTACAGTGCGCCACTTGGGAAGCGTGGCAGTGCTCCCGCCGAGGGTTCGGATCCCACATACAGACCGGTTCCCGCTCACTGGCTGAGCGAGGTGCAGGGAGCAGCGCCGAGGGTTGCGATCCCGTTGCCGGTCCCGGGCCGGTACAGGCGCGACACTGAGGGTTGCGATCCGTTGGCGGTCATGAAAAAAGACAAAAAGGAAAAAAAAAAAAAAAAACACTAAAGAACTCACAAAAAAGCCAAACTGTTTTCAGTGTTTTCACTGTAAGTAAACAAGGTACACTTTAACCTTAAAATAAATAATTAAATAAATAAAACAATAAAACTTTGGACTGTCATATTTTCCAAACTTCACTTATTAAAAAAAAATTCATGTGTCAGTTTCAAAAGCTTTTAAAATCAGTAACAGTAGATTTTAGTAATTCAGAGAAGAAACACAATGAATAGGAGCTGAACTGAAGAGACTATTTTGATATTTCTTTAAAAGTAGGCAAAATTAAGGAAGGTGAGAAATTAGGTAAAGAAAATTAGACTTTAAATAAGAACTCCAAGAAAAATGAAAATATGGCTATTTTCCTGTTACCATATGCCTCCAAACTAATTCTAACCAAAAGGGAAAGGAACCTAATGAAAATTTTACAAAGACACAGGTGTCCTGAGTCATCTACAACACTGGGTCAGTCCACATTACAAGTGTCTGGTCAATGATACACTGAAATTTCCTCCAAGGGAAATATGCCAGAAAAACTAATAACAATTAAATATAGTACACATCAATTCTTATATAAAAGACTAGTTTAGCCAGTCTTTCCCCATCATAAAAAACTGAATTGTGAAGAACTAAAAAGTAAACTGAGTCAATAAAAGAAGGTCACTTTTATAGGTTTATTTGATCCCCCAGTGTTTTATATCATCTCACATCAAATCACCTTGCTAGACAGGGTATCCCAACAACCACACATTTTTAGCTAAATACTCCTTTTTGCCTAGTTTTCCATCTCAGAATTTCTATGAAAATTTTTATTAACAAGGAAGTTAAAGCACCCTCAACCAATCAGCATAAATTATCATTAGATGGGACAAGAGATACTAAAGCCACTCAAATTTTAAAAAGTCATTAGAAGAAAACTTAACGAGTAAAGGGTAAACCAGACACATATTCAGATACTCATTTCTAATTTGTCTTAAAAGAGGTAGCAGTACATCAAAACAATGTTTTTTATGTGGGTTTTTTTTTTTTTTTAAACCAACAACTTCCCTCTTTCCCACACTTATTTTTTCAAAGTGGTATTAACATCTCAGACAGATATCCCAATGAAATTTCAAAGAGAATCATCCTCACGCATGCAAAGAAATGAGCTTTCAAAAGAGCAGATGCTCACAGCTCTTTCCAACTACCTTGTTCTATTCAAGGATATACCTCCTCTAGCCTGCTGGAAATAACTGGAAGATTAATTAGAGCAGAAATAAAATGATGGGGTAGAACTGTACAGGTGGAGACAATACTCCACCACCCACAAGCCTAGTTCCTAGTACCAAATAAATATTGGATTGTGTTTAGATGCTATCAAGTCATAGGGGGCTTGGAAGCACAAGACATAAAGTTTTTTTCCTATTCTAGAGTAGGGACTATTTCACTGATGTTTGGTCATCATGCCAGTACAAGAAAATGTTGCATGCATATCATGTATAAGAAAAAACTCAGAGTAACATCATCACATACATATAAGTTAAAATATTTCCTTCTTGTTTCTTTTAATTATTAAGAAAAAGAAAACTGGGCAAGGGAGAATTGCCCATTATATGCTTACCCGAATTCTGGATCCGCCACGTTTTTATAAACTGAGTATCAGGAGGTATTGACTCCCCTTCTCCTATGGTGACATCTTCAACAAAGGACATAGAAGGTACACTGATGTTTGGGCTCTCAAAGTCATAATAGGCGCCAATTGCTGCTTGTAGGTTCCTACAAATAAAGAGAAAAAAGCAAAAGACTCCAGTCCTGTCTGGAGGATATTATATCCTAATTGTCAAACAAAAGGAAAAACCCTGTTTCTTAGGGTTTGTCACAGAACCTGAGGCTCCTGTTGTACAAGTCTTCAAAGCTACTCATTTTGGCTGAGGAACAATAAGGAAAACGACAAGACCATCAAACTTGTGTATCACTTTCTTCCCAACGTACCCATATAGAAAGTACAAACGTTAGTACATCAACAACAATATGAGGAAATATGTTACTCACAAGGATAGAAGAATGGGTAAGGAAGTCAATTAAAAGAGAGCTCCTCTAACTTTGACGGTGGAATTCAAAGGAGCTCTACATTTCAAAATATTCTAATTATTTAATTTTTCAAAAAGTAATACATGTAATGATTCTAGAAGTTTCATACAATGAAAAATAACCATCCTATCTCTTCTTCCCTCAACACACACACACATACACAGAGATAACTGTTCATATTACTGTACTTTCTTAAATATCCTTCCAGAACTTCCTTACGTACCTACAAGCAAATATGACATATATTCTTATTTTCCCTTTTTACACAATTGGTAGCATACTATGCACTGACTTTTGCTTTATTCCCTTAGCACTATATCTTGAAGATATTTCTATATCAGTACATAGAGTATCCTCAGTGTTTTTTACAGCTGTATTCACTGTACAGATTTATCATTATTTATTTAACCAGTAGACTTTTGAGTTTGTTTCCAATCTTTAACTTCCATAAAGCTTAAGCAAACATCATTTTGTATACATGCAAGTGTATCCATGGGATGAATTCCCATAAGTAATATTGCTGGGTCAAAGGGTATATATTTGTGGTTTTAATAGATATATCTATTAAAGCTCCCCTCAATAAAAGTTACCCACTAACGATCCCACCAAGAATGCATGAGTGTGCCTATTCCCCACCTGCTCATCAGCAGTGTTTCTCCAACACTTTGGATTACTGTCAGTCTGATAGGTAAAAAACAGAATCTTAGTGAGGTCTTAAAGTGCTTTTCTCTTATTATAAAGGAGTATCTTTTTACATGTTTAAGACCCATTTGTAGTTTCTTTTTTGGAAGTACCATTTTGTAAATGTTGGTATTCTTTTTAATTCCTCACAAACCTCCTTTTATCGGAAGGAACTACTAAGCACATAAACCAGAGTCCCCAATTGAACAGAATCATGTTTGACAGCTTGTTTCATCAGTGCCAGATACCAAAGGCCACTCACTAAAGGGTTTAAGTAAGATGTGTTCATTACAAAGATCAAGGAAATTGTTGGTTATACTTACTAGTACCTCTTCTGCTCTTGCTCAAACCAGTGACATAATCCCAAGCTTCCACAGTAGACAACAACCCAAACTGCATCTTTCTAAACATAACCCCACCAAAAGCCAATGGATCCAATGGGCTTTTTTCAATTATGCATAAACAAAGCACGAAACAAGCTCTGATGGTACACAACTGTTCAACAGACAGGCTATTAACAGCAAACACTTTTCTGCTGGGGGCCTGCCTGCTCCTCCAGGTGTTTGCAGCTGCCAGAAAAGAAGGCTATATTTAGAGCAACTACCTTAGGTCAAGCCTCATGCAATGGTGGCCTGACATACTAGTCAGTAATGACTGGAATTAGACCACCAACAATTGCCTGCCTGTCATATGTGTGCTTGATAAAATTTACATGGAGTAGAACTGGGCTGGTGGCCAAACTGCACCTGTTTGCTTGACTGTTCAATGAGAAGGCTTGGACTTCAGTCTTCCCAGCAGTTTCCTATCTAGCTGATAGTGATCCAAAGTGAGGGATATGTGACTGGCCAAACTTGGAGAAGTCCAACCCCTACCAACCACAAACAGGCTTAGAAGTACATCTGGAACCAGCCTTACACTTAGAGACCAGGGATAAAACAAGAGAAAAATAAGCTTAGTTTGCAATTTGTTCTTTTCAAAATATTTTGTAAAGCTACATGTCTACCTTTTGGTAAAGATAATTTTTCTGCCACAGGTCTCCAGCAAGTAGCCTGCTGAATTGTTTTCTGTTCACTTGGCTGTAAAATATGCTCGGGAGGGAAGAAACTATTCGTGCACTCAGGACAACTGCCAATTCTCATCCCCAGTCTGTATCATATTTCACCCCTTGGCTCTGCAGGACTTCAAGACCACTGCAATAGGAACACTAACAAGTGGAAAAGTCAAATTACCCTACTTAAACAGATCCATCCCCCTCCTCAAATCTCCTTTCACATATCCCACAGCCAAAGCCAACAAAACTACTTATTTGTGCCTGTATTATATAGGTAATTCAGCCAAAGAAAGATTAAGAAACATTTTTAAAGCCCAAACTGAAACTGAAAGTAATGAACTAGAATCCTGGCAGGAAGCTGGAGTGGAGAATGACAAAGCAAATTCATTTCCAGGTACAAGGCAGAAAGTGGACTTTAGCCCAGTGGTGCTCCAACCCATCAGGCAGGTGCACAGCTCCAAATGTGAGTACATAGCTCCTCAGAGTTGGGACCATTTAGATTACTGCCCCACTGGGCTAAGCAACAGCAGGAATAGACCAAACAGTTCCAATTCAGTGTCAGCAAAGTGATAGCACGTACTCTGGTTCAAAACAACATACTCAGCTATTATTAGCCAACAAGAAATTCTACATGAACTAGAGCTGGCTGGGAAAGGGAAAACACTGACCCAGTATTCAGTCCAATCCTCAAGTTTAAATTTCCAGGTTCCTCCACTGTTTTTGCTCAAAAAATGCTTTTAATATGATTTCAGATGGTTAAAAGCACCCTAAAGAACAAACGGAGACAATGTAACAGTGAAAAAAAGCACAGGCTGAGGTGGATAGTGGTGATGATGGTCGCATAACTTTGTGAATATACTTAATGTCACGGAACTTAAAATGGCTTAAAGTAAAAATAAAATGGTTTTATTATTACCACAATAAAAAATTTTTTTAAGGGCCGGCCTGGTGGCACACTGGAGAGTGCGCCGCTTGGGAGCGCGGCGGCGCTCCCACCGAGGGTTCGGATCCCATGTGGAGACCAGTTCCCGCTCACTGGCTGAGTGTGGTGCAGGCGCAACACTGAGGGTTGCGATCCCGTTGCCGGTCCCCGGTACGGGCGCGACACCGAGGGTTGTGATCCCATTACCGGTCAGTAAAAAAGAAAGGAAAAAAAAAATTTTTTTTTAAAAGAGTACAGTCTTTGTAATCATCTCCTATCACTCCTCAGCCTTTTGGCTAAGATCAAGTGTTGTAGCCACCCTTGGCTGTGCAGGCTTTGAGCAAGCAGCTAAGCCTCTACACCAGTTTTACTCATCTGCAAAACTTAGTTAATACCACCTACCCTCCTTATTCGGGTGTCTGTGAAGACTGCTGAGGCAATGTGTGTAATGTCCTAGGTTGGTAGTCATTCATTCAACAAATATTTAAATGAATGAGCATTTGTCCCTGAGCTAGGCACTTGGTCTGAGGCTAGGGATAGAGCAGATAGCAAGACAGGCATGGCCTCTGTCTTCATAGTCTAACAGACTGCAGCTAACCAGGGGCATTCAAACAAGGGTAACTCTGACTGCCTCTCACACAGAAGCTAGCAGCCTATGGCTGCTTCTCCTACTTAAGGTGAAAAATTGGCTTGGTGCACAACACAGTTTCAGATGCACTGATAATCAAGTTAACCTGATTCAGAGTAGAAGAATTTGGCGACACTGACATGTGTTCCCTAATGAAATACAATTTTATTCAACCTTCGTTTTATAGATGAGGCCACTGAGGCACTGACAGGTAAAGTAACTTCCCCTTGGACAGGCAGTCAACTCTCAGGATTTAGAGCTATACCTATTCAAGGGCTATTCAAAACTTTTACTCAGAATTTTCTGATTATATGATAACACTCTAAAATCTGATTTTCATAAGAAAATATTAATTACCATCGTTAATTCTACAAATAAGTTGGTTGTAACCCTTTAGTTAAACTGAATTATTGAAAGTAAAGAATTAATCTTGCATATATTCACAAACAAAGAACATTTATTTTTGTACTATGTATACATACATAAGGCAGTAGATTACCAGTCTCATGAAGAAAAACCATCTTTATTCTGTATATACAGCCAGGAACATCATCCAAAAATATGAGGGTAGGAAACAATTAAGAAAATTAGAATTAAAGAAGGAATACCAGAAGTCTGAGTATTAGCTCAGATTCTCAGGGAAGTAAAATTAGATATCTTCTCTTTCCATTCTCTGAACAAGTGAGACATTCAAAAGGACCCAAATTTGTGAGAAAAATAAAACTACCCATCTTATTTGGACACAAACTAAAACAGGAAATCAGAATAATGAACCGATCTAGTCAGGCATGAAAAACAGAAGCTCAGGGCTATTTTTTTGTGGATTGTTATCCCAATCCACAAAAAGGTTCCCTCACCTGTAGTGTGCCAATGATATTACTATCAAGGCCACAATCCCACTAGGAACCAAGAAGGCTTTATTATCTCTGAATGACCATAAAGGTAATCTAATTGGAAAAAAAAAAAGGTTCAGCAAAATAGATGTTTTTACTACAGCTGTCCAACATCAACTGAATAGGAATCTCTAACACAGGAGACCAAAAAGTAAGGCCAACTACAAACAGACATATGAAAAAATGCTCAACATCACTCAGCATTCAGGAAATGCAAATCAAAACCACTCTGAGATACCATCTCACTCTAGTTAGAATGGCTAATATCCAAAAGACTGAGAATGATAAACACTGGTGAGGATACAGAGAAAAAGGAACCCTCCTACACCATTAGTAGGACTGCAAAATGATTCAGCCTTTATGGAAAATGGTATGGAGGTTCCTCAAACAATTACAGATAGATCTACCATATGACCCAGCTATTCCACTGCTAGGAATATACCCAGAGGAATCATGTCGAAGGGAAACCTGTACTCCCATGTTTACTGCAGCGCTATTTACAATAGCAAA